CCCCACCTCTTCCCTCTCCCCTTGCCCCTTCTCCCACAACAGACTTACTGACTGGATACTGCTCTCCAAGCTGCCCTGCTGTATATTGGAATCGGATCAGTATCAGCCAATATGGCTCATTAAAAATCAGCCATCGCTACTGGCCTAAGAATTCTCTATCAGTGCACCCCTAATTCTTAAAGGTTTTTAGACCTAAGTAGACAAAGCCTTGGCTGGGATGATACAGTTGAGGATGGTCCTGCTTTGAGCATGGGGTTGGACTAGATACCTCCTGAGGTCCCTTCCAACCCTAACATTGTATGATTCTGTCATTACCTTTCTGGCAGCTTTATCTTGTTTTGGGCTCTATGGCTGTTTGATTTTAAGCATCTTTCAGAAGTATTTAGGTTTCCAGCTCTCAGGTCAGTAGCCTGTTCTTTTTCTGTAATTCCACAGTACATTTGTAGACCTGAACTGTACACGATCCATTTGACAGATGCAGCTGGCATCATGTGTAGGCTATTGTTGCAGCCACAAAAGATGGAAACGCCTATCAGCTGTTTTACATGACTTCTCATGAGGGTTTCTCATCTGTTTTCTCACGGTTCTTCTCCCATTCTCAACTGCTGCTACACTATCTCATTTAATGAATTATTTTTTCCCCTGCTTTTCTGTGGGGCCCCTTACTTGTCATCCTTGGCCCTGCCCTCTCCATCTCTCACTTGAAATCTTTTTAGTGAACCTAAAAGCACAGATCTGGCTACCTTCCTCATGGAAGAGTCACAAATCTGCTGCTGCCCTGTCATGCATCTAACTCAGTACCTCTGTCTGTTTGGATTTCCACTTGTTGTCTTAAGTGCAGCTGAGATAAATCTGGCACTAGGTAGTTTCTTCCAGTTGTCCACTTTCCTTTCTCAATCACAGTGGACACCACCATTGTTCTTGGAGGAACCCAGCTTGTAACCTGGGGGGTGGCCACTCTGCCCTCTCCCTAGACTTGCCTTCAGGCTGTGTCCAAAACTTGCCGCTTCCTAAAGGACATCTTAAGAGTTTTGGCCTTTCCTCTTTACTCCTTCAGCTAAAATGTTGTCTTTGCTGGCCTTGATTATTGCAGACATGAAGAGC